ATTTGTAATAGACTGCAAATAATAATGGATTCATTCAAACTGGGCCAGGCCCTGTGGTTTTTCCCCTTTTCAGGATTTTCCACGTAAAAATCTTGGTCTCTTATGAATATTGCACCCTCTATCTCTTATCTGATTGCGTGTTAGATTTTCGTACAAAGCTATAACGCTAAAGTTTATATTTCTCTACCCCGCGAATATTCCAGGACGCAACAATATTTATTGTCAACGAACTGTTATGCCATTACTAGAGGATGATGCAGAGTATTGCCTTTCTAAATGATGCAATTCCTGAGATTAATCCAATTGTTTCCTTGCCAAAATTATGCTCAGTGATATGAAATATCCTCGAGTAAGAATGACGAAGGCTGAAATTCCTACCTTAGTGGAAAAACCTCGGCTTTCTAAGTGTTGGGAACGAAGGCCTTGAAAATGTGTAGCTAATTCAAAGTGTTTGACCCGGATCACATAAACAATTCAAAGAAGAAAGGTTAAGATACAGGCTTAGTTAGTACATTTATATTGGTAATGCTATATATTATACTCATTTAATTAGACCTCACAAACGGATGTGTGCAGCCAGCCATTTCTTGGGACATTAACCATCAATATACTGCTGTCACTTTACATATTTAAATCATCTAAAATGTTTACAAAGTAGAATTCATGTTCGTGATGTTGGCAGGATTGGTATTCCCTTTCCAAGACAATGGCAGAGAAGGAAGCATTCAGACATGCTCAGGAAACTGGACTTGATGTTGTCACTCTCTGTCCAAGTATAGTTATTGGACCTCTACTGCAATCAACTGTGAATGTCAGCAGCTTCTTGCTCCTCGACATTTTGAAAGGTTCTCTTCTATAATATGACAATTATGAAGTACCTCTGGTTTAGGCTTCGTTTGGGACGGCTTTCTTACTACTGCTTAAAACAATTTTTTAGTGAAAAAAATTAATTTTTTTACGAAAAAACTGCTTTAAGAAGAGGTAAAAAAATCGTCCCAACCCAAACCTTAGTTTCATTAGTACTAAAAGTATCCTATAAAGCCTTAAACTATCCATCTTCTAATTAATAAGAATGGAAAGATGCCTCAACAACTTTTATAGGATCCAGTGAGTATACAGAGAAGGATCGTAACTGGCTTTTTGTTGATGTTAGAGACGTAGCTGAAGCTGCACTTCTGATATATGAGAAGCGTGAGGCATCTGGACGTTATATTTGCACACTTGACCCCATTAAAATTGGCGACTTCTTCGGCATGTTGAAGAACATATATCCTGGTTTTAAATACCATAAGAAGTAAGACTCGCACCCCATCTTAAAGCTGTGTATATTAGTATTTCATGTTTTATTAATCTGAAGTTTTGTTATTAAATGACAGTTTCCGTGAGCTGGGTATAGATTTACATATGAGTTCGGAGAAATTGAGGAAGATTGGTTGGAAGCACAGGACACTAAAGGAGGCCGTTTCTGATTCAGTTCAATACTATGAAGAAGCTGGTCTTTTAAAAATGGAATAGAAGCTCATGAAATGCTGAATTTGCTTGAGATTAAATTGTACAAATAAAACTGGCATACTCTGAATGTCCTATGAATTTCTTCTATCACTCTTGCAGAAACTCTATGAACTTCATGCTATTTGTAACTTTCTTTGATTAAGCACTTGGCTGCAATATTGAGGGTTGGTTTGGTGTGTGCTGCAAATTTTCTGCTTTCTATTCTTCTTGCTAATTTAGAAAGGCAAGACTCTGAGCATGATTTTGGCAAGGAAACAATTGGATTGATGCAATTTTTGAGATTAATCCAAGTCATTCCTGAGATTAATCCATATGCAATTCTCCATATATTTTTTTTTTTTTTTTAGAGCAGTAAAAGTTCACTTTAAGGCTAATTTTAAAGGTAAATTCAAAACAAAAAACTTTTGATTGATAGCCTAGACTCCCCTCGATGCCTCATTTCTGCCTCTTCTATGGAAGAGATGCCTTTACTCTCTTGCTCCTCACAATGGTGGAGATGTTACTTCCCTAGCCTCCTCAGCTAGTCACAAGTCTTTCACCCAAAGACTCTCATAAGAGCTCCCAACACATAACCTGGAGGACCAATGTGCAAGCAATTGAGGCAATCGTGTGATCTTCCTCATACAAGCCTTGACCCCTCAAGGAACAACCTCTCAACCTTGACTTCTCTTCTAAGTGGTTAGGACAATGTCTCTCAAGTATGAAGAGCACACCTCTCCTTCTCTAAGGATACTCTTTTGAGAAGAAAATGTATGTAGTAACTTTGCCTCACACACACATAATATTGAGAGCATCATAATTAGATATTTAAAGCAAACCCTACTTTTTAATTTTAAACGTACAATACAAATCGTAGATTGTATTGTTCGATTAGTTCAATATGAGAAAATACTCGAATTTGAGTTCTGATAGATTGGATAGTACGATTTGAATCATGCAGTATGATTAGTTGAATCAGATCAATAATCGTTATGTATGAATCATTTGTTTGTGAGCCAAATGTTATGTTCGTTTGTACTGTACAAGTATAGTACAAAAGGGTAATTATGATTTTGATCTAATTTGATTGCTTGATTAATTGATCAAAATAGGCAAGTTCATTACTATTTGTACAATACGTTTATTCAAAATTTTAAATTGCATGGTTTTGGAAATTTAGAATTTTGAGTGGGTATTTATCAGAAATATTTATAATCCTGGATGATCTAAATCGTATAGTATGATTAGTTATCATATTATTTTTTTCAATTTTATTAAGCACTTGAATTAATTTTTTGAATAATTGATTGTACAGTACGATTTAACAAAGAAATCAGTAGTTCAGTTTTGATCCCAATTAGCAAGTGTATGCTATGTTGTCTTGCCAATATACATCAAAATATATGAAGACTAAAAAAAAGAAAATATAGACTCATATTACAAATTTTAATTCAACTCAATTCTGAAATTCTTGAGTTTTCTCTTTTGATTTGACTTCTTCTATGTTGAACCTAAAATCTTAGTATAACAAAAATAATTTCTATATATTGCAGAGAATAATAAATTTATTTAATCATTAATATTTGAAATCATCAAAATAATATGTCGGGTTCATAGGTTTCAACAATAAATATTTGCATCACATCCCACACATGAATCCTTGAAGAATGAAATCAATTCAACTATAAATAGTTTGTGATAATACTTTCCACACTTATAATATCATTAAAGCATCTAAATTCAATAACACCTATTAACTTGTCCATAAAAATGCAAATAAAGTTTAACTACTATAATAACTCTTCTAGAAAATAAATTATTATTTAATTAATTAATTAACCAAAAATATATAAATAGTAGTTCTGTGTTTATAAGAAATAAACTTGGTAATTGAAATCTACTAATAAACAACAAGACATTAACCATACATGTGACCAATAATATATATATATATATATATATATTTGATTTCTTCCAATATGTGTATCAAAATAATTAAATTTGATTACAAAATAATAGTTCAATAATCTTGTTCTGGAGAGATCATAACTCTATCCCTTTCTATTCTGTTGGGCATTTTCCTTTCACTAAAATATCAAAATAATTAATATTATGAGCACAACCAGCTTAGTGGTATTCTTTTCTATATCCATTATAGATATCAATATCTAATTAAAATTTTAAATTTAATTTTACTTAAAAACTTAATAATTAGTAAATAATTTAAAAATTACTAACAGGACATTATTTCTTATTATTAACAGAGTGTACTTAGGTTCAGAATTACTATTTAAATTTGCACTATTCACTTTCACGTAACTTCAAGAGGTGTCATAGAATACTTGCCATCGGAGTTTCATATGTGCACAACTTTATTATTTCATTAGGATTCGTACAGAGATTCAGAACTTATCTGAACCAAAATAAATTATCTTTTGAACTTAATTTATCAGAATATGCAATATATGAATATAATGCACATGTTCTGACGTCTGCTTATATCTCCACTTACACTTATAGCTCCCTTAACCTCTCTCACCAACATATAACAAGCGGTGTTATTATAAAAAAAAAAAAAAACTCCCACGCCCACTTTCAACAAACGGGGCTCGAATATCTTCTACATGTAGACAGATGGGGTCATAATAGAACATATATGTCCCTTGTACCATTTTAGATAGTGCACGTTTTACTTTGAAGAATAAGTACTTCTCTAATGGCATATCAAGAATTATCTAATTTAAATGTAATAGTAATTAATTATGAACTTGATGCACTATGTGAATGATCCATGAATTTCAAAAATGACCTACATTATTATATATCACGTGTGTAATCTTACACACTAAACATTTTCCAATCCACTTAGAACTTTAGAAGTATGCTCAGAACAATATTTCATGCCTATTATAAAACTATGGTGAAAATTGAAAAAGCCTCATTTGCGGGATACAAATGAAAATCATCAAAGAGAAAATTAACAGGTAGAAATTCAACTTCTTATAGTTAAATGTTCATAATGAGGCATATAATAATATACTGAAAGTTATATAGTAAAGATATCATAAACCCCAAGAAAAATAAAGTATTAATCATATATTTTATAGAATTGTTTTTTTTTTTAATCATAGATACGAGTTTAGATGGTCTCATTAAATACTATAGGTGATATAAACATCATTTAAATCAAGATTAATGAACATTCATTCTAAATTGCTTTAATTACTTGAGTTTTTTTAGTAGTGGACATCACATCTTGCACTCCTTACATAAAATATCATTCTTGATATTTCTTATTTATAATACAGTCAGAAGAGATCTAGATATAGTTGTAACATCTGTACTTTTTTTTTTCCAAGTTGCTTCTCGCTCTGACCTATGCTTCCATTGAAATTTAACCATATGCATTTATTTATTACTTAACTATTTTATGCCATAAGCCATAATGCATTCAAGTTCTTCTCAGCAGGTCAAATTGGGTGGAACTTCTACTTCATTATCAAGAACCATTTGATTTTAATCTTATGCCTATTTCTTCAGTACCGATACATTAAAAATATTATGGGTATCCAACATATGATTTAGTAAGAATAATCTGTAAGCATATTTCTCAATTCCTTCAATGAAGTATACATATAGGGCTCCAAAAGATAATTCCCTCTCCTCTAGAGGGTATTCTCTTTTGGAATTCTATAAGAAAATCGGGAGTCAGAAGATGATAAGTAAGTGCATTTAAATCTATATATATTATAGGTGTAGAAAATTAGATTTGTTGGGGTGGAGCTTGACCGTCTTATTTTACTATAGGCCCTAGGTTATATAAATATTTTATATAAATGAAATAAAATTTCTTGCATTGCATTCATATGGGAGGTAGATTGTATTATATGGTAGCCTTTTTCATAGGTTTCTTACAGTGAGCATGTTCCAAACTTTATAGGAACATATATGCTAGTTCTAGGATGATACGGTAGTGATACAATATACACAAACATCTTTAGTCTAACATACATACATGCATTTTCTTTTCTACAACGTACACTAGCCTAGCACACAAGCCATTGGTAAGGATTGAGGAGCTCAAGAAATGAGGTTATTGTAGTTTTCATATGGGTTAGAGCTGTAATGTTGCTAGATTTTTTAGAAAGTTTTAGAAAATTTAGTTTTAGTTAAAAAATAAAATTTAGAGTTTATGAAGTCTTTGTGTCAAAACTATATTAGTTAGGTGCATTTGACCCGATTCATATTACTAAACTCTGATTATAAATATAAACCAAAATCCTTGATTTTGATATTAAAATAGTTATCTTACTTGTATGCATCAGACATGAAATTCATGGTTTTAAAATTGTGTGCTTAGATGATTAGTTGGCAATGCACTCCAAGTAAGCATAAGTCCAGATGCATTTGCACCTCTCAAATTTTTTCAGGGTTGATTATCCCGACATTCTAAATAAATTTTATAAATTTTAAAACTATTTTCAAAATGATTGATTGAAAATTGTAAATATTTAAATCAAATATAATAAACTTTTTAAATCTAAAATAAGTCTAGCCACCACTTTAATTAAAAGTTTTATCTTTGGAGATATAATTAATTTTAGAGGTTTGCCTCTATGGGAACCTAGGAACCCATATTAAAATAAATTATAATTTACTTTGGTGAAACAGATGAAAATCTTTGGAAGCAAATTAAAGATAATCATTAGTTAGTTTTATTTTCAAAATGATATGTAAATGTAAATTTTACCTTTTGGGGTGAATCTCATATTCCTTATTCCGAGTTTAATTATGAAAATAAATTTGTTTCTCTTTTTAAGTCGATAGTGTAACATTAGTCTATCTATTAAGGTAGTATAATATTATTTATGCAGATTTGTTTAAGGAAACATTATAGTGAATCAGTGGTCATTCATTTATTTGTCCATAGAAAGGAGAGAAGGGCAGAGAGAAAGTTCATCATAGGTTATTTTTCTTCATTGTCATCGTTGTGAAATTTATTCATCTAGTGGTAAGTGACCTTAACTCTATTTATATATTTCAATTATTTTAATGTTTGAATCTCTCTCTCTCTAATCTAATAAAAAAACTTTATTTTTAGTTTTAACAAACGTTTAACATGTAACTTTTGATATTTTATAGAAATATCCATTATGTACAAGTTAATATGATCATATTAAATTTTTACTAGGTATATTTGCAAGTGTG